TAACTGCAAAAATGCAAACGCCATGTTTTCCGATACGTAATGAGTTATTGATAAATATATTTGGCTTTAGTGCAGGGTTTCACGCTTATAATTTCCCAACGAACACCGGTTTTTTGTTAAAGGTAACTGAGATAGCTCTTAATTTTTAACAGGCCACATAAAAACTTAAGTGAAATGAAAATAAGGAAAATTAACCTAAAATATAATATACCTACATATACAAAAAAATGTGTTTTTACTTGCATAGCCAATAACATAATAGAAATAAGATGATGTTTATTACGTTTTAAGCTGTTATTAATGGAAATACAGAGATATTTTTATGAGTTTATAAGGAAAATGCCATTGTGGTTAAGATACCGTACCTAAGGAAATAGATAATATTGCGGATCATAATGCTATAGGTATGGAGTCATAAAAAAAAACAAAAAACATTTTAAAAGTGCGAATATTGTAATTTTGTTAAACTTCTTGTGAATAAATACGTAAAACTTTAATATTTATTAATTAATATTCGGCTTCATGAACGTTGGTATCTTATACACTTCCACATTTAAAATGGTTCCCGTCGTGAAAAATTCTTTGCCAGTGCAGTGTTGCCGCTTGTGGGTATTTTACCAGAAAATCGGGAAATTTCGTCATACTTGTATTGCCAAAAAGTTAATCTGATTATTAAAAATTTTGATGATTACGTTAATTACGATTAAAATATTTTGATTGGTACATCATGCAATTGAAGTCCGTAATTCAAAAAGGTGTTACTCAATATTTTTTATTGTGAGATAAATAGGCTTATGCAGAGTTTTTAAATTGTAATTTTTTTTTAAATAGGGCGAATGTGCCAAAAATTTTTAAAAGAAAACTATTTTTTTAGTCTTGTGGGTAAAATCGGGTAATTTGTAATTTTTGGTCGAAAAGTACTGAAATTCATCTGGCAACACTGGTTAGTAAATAAAACCGGATAAAACCAAGTTGCATTTCTTATAACTTTTTTGTCGTATGGTACTCCTCTTTACGCCAAAAAATACTTCTTTAAGGCAGATTTATTCTAATAATATCCGCTTTAAAACACTTTGGTATAGATTTAATGTTTTATAAAACCTATTAAACGTTTTTGGTATAAAATGGCGATATTTAGGATAACATTGAAATTTTTAATGCCTAATAGCAATAAAAACAGATGTTTTAAAACAATTTGGCTTTAATATTTTCTTCCATAAAACTTACAAAATGGGCAACCAGCATTGCATGATGTAATGGGGATTTTATTTTGTGTCGGCCGGTTTTGTTTTTCCAAAAATGCCGTTCAAAATTGTTCAAACAATTAATGTGACTTTATGGCGTTTTAGTCACAGGATAAAGTTGGCAATAGTGACTTTTGGGCTGAAGTTAGCTTTATTATAAATTACGGAAAAAATTGGCTTTAAATTCTTCTTTGTGTTCGTCGTAGATAAAGTAGTATGCAACTCGTTTTATAAACTTCTCTAGACCCTCGTTTTTATTTAACACTCGCTCGCAAACTTCGCTCGTGCCTAATAAAACTTGATACATAATATACTATTAAATGTGATTCCAATTACCACTGTTTTAATTTTTGTCTAACAACATCGACATCATGCACATTGCACAAGCATGCCAATCAACAACACAACAAAAAAATAAGGTTACCTTGCTAAAAAAGATATAGGTACCTATTTATATACATACCCTTAAAATTGTTATAAGTTTAGTAACTTTACAGACCAACAGTTTTAAAGGGCCCAAAAATTTGTCTAAAAGGTTCTCAGTGTAAAACGGTTTAAAGTGTAATCCTAAAACACTTCATAAAACTTAATTTAAAAACAATTATAGGATATAAGCCTTTTTTATGGCTGCTTTAAAACCATGTACTCCTTAAGAGCCCTGCTAAGATGAAAGGTCCTATCTACAAAATTTTGTAATAAAGGACAAAAGATTGTTATAACAATAAAAATGATTGTTATAACAATAAAAATGATCTTTTGTCCTTTATTACAAAATTTTGTAGATAGGACCTTTCATCTTAGCAGAACCAAAGAGTTTTAAAATAGCATAATAATTAATGCACATAAAACCGTATTAAAACAAACTCAAGTTTTATCATATGGTTTTAAAATATTCTATAAAACATTTCTTTAAGAGTATTTTATCCTGCAGTCTCATTAGAAAAATATATTGCCTTAATAAAACAGCGTCTCTTTTTTGTGCAACAATAAAACCATATTAAAACAATTATTAAAACTACCTTTCTTAAAAAATGTTACTTGGGTTAGTCAATGCAGTCTTAAAACTATCTTTACTTTCTTCATTGATAAATTAAAAATTGTCTTACAATTCATGACCATCGTTTTCAATTAAATTAATTAATTTTCCTTTTATCGCTATAGCTTCTTTTAATTTGCTGCACAAAGATAAGTCATAAAATTTGTTTTCCACTTAAACCATTCCACTTTTGGATTTCCTATTATAGTTTCCATCCTGTTTTTAACACCTGACACCGTGTATTATATATTATAAAGATATAAAACACATATTAATTTGAACTTTTAATGACAAATCTATTGACAAAACATTCTAACAATCTTTCGTAACTATGATAGGTAACAATACAAATAACAATAGTAAAAGGCTTTTACTAAAAGCAGCTATTATTTATCTTACAGTAAATATTGGTATAAACCGGTTTCTCCTTTATTATTCTAATTTTTTGTTTGTAGAAATTATTATATCTTTAATCCAAATAAATCTGAAAAATCTGTACACCACTTTACTACGTCATCTTTTACCATTTTTTATATTCAAATTGTTATTTTCTATTGTAAATATGTTAAATTCACTTATTTTTGACTTCTTATTGTTGCTGTTTCTAATTGTAACGCTGTAAATATTGTATTTAGTATCTTAACAAGGGCTCTTTACCAAAATTACGGCATCTTCTTTAATATTCTTATAATTGGTTATTTTTCGGATTATTTCGCAACGAGGTGGGATGATTAGCAAGTTTTTTTAGGAATATTATTGATTGGTAGTGGTGTTTCTACTCCTTTTGATCTTATAGTCATATTCCAATCAGTGTAATCCAACGACCTTGCTATGCAGCAATAAAATCTCTACCTAAGATTCAGTCGGAATAGGTAAATCTTGAGCAACGACGTAAAAATTGTGTTGTATTTTATAATTATTTATATGAACGTACGTTTCAGTTGTCCCCAACGAGTTGGTACAACCATCCGTGACGCCTTTAATTCTACGCTTTGCATCTGTTGAGAATTTGCTTTGGATTTATTTTTGTCCTTTTGAACAAAGAAATATAAGCACAGGTGTCTACCAAAAGAATCACTTTTTCGTTTTTTGCCATGTTAATTTGTACAGCAACAAAATTCGTTATACGTCCGCATTGGAAATACTGGGAATTAGGGCATTAGCAATAATGGTCCGGAATACTTGATAAATACCATGTATTGATACGAATATCTTTACAATATTTTGAGAACCGCTGGCTTTTTTTCCAATTGGAATTTTTAAATGTTTTTTAATAGAATTTTCTCAACTTAACCGAACTTCTAGCTCTTTAAATTAGAAAGATACCCATACATAGAAGGATACTTGGTGCACCCTGTATATAATGTTGACTTTGTACATGTACAATTTACTTTGGACATTTAATGCACTGAAAACGTGGAAAATATATCAAGAAAAGCACAAAATAACGTTATAACTATAGTTAGGTCTAGGGTTTTAAAAGTTCCGGAAAAATTTAGCCGGAGGAAAAAAAGCGGAAAAATTGTGAAATTTTCAAAAAAATTGACTTGAATTTTTTTCATTTTATTCAAAGGGTAATACGAAAAAGTGCAAAATTTTTCTGAAAATTTCCATTTTTTCTTAAATGTGTATGTTTTCAAAAAAAAAAACAAATTTTCCCAAAAAAGACAATTTTTCCAAGGTCCGGGAAAAAACGAAAAAAAAACACGTTTTCACCCAATATAATGCTGGTTAAAAAGTAGAGCGTTTCACCATTTCGTTACATAGCAAGTCCCATAGAATGATTTTGCCCTACCGTTCCTAGATAAGTTTTACTTCAAAAACTACCCTTTTTATATGATGTAGAATCAAAAACGTAAATGTAATTGTAAACACTGCAGAAACATTCCAGGTATAAGAAATTGATATTGCAGCGCTTAAGATATGTATTTTTTTAAATTTTTAAACCAACTAAAGAAAACAATTTTAAAAAACTTTTACCAAAAATTCCCGAGGCCCGACCGCCTGACAATGACAGTGGAGAAATGTTGAAAATATTTTCCTTGTAAAAAAATAATATAATAACCCCCAACAAGAGTCCCCAGTAAGCACCAAACACTCGGCAAACAGTCTGCCACCGCGGCATAGGCGGTAGACTGGCGGTTCGGCTTGCCCCCAGCCGGCCCACTTGTGGTCTGCGTTATGTTACCCCAGTTACATTTGGCATGCCCCCAGCCGGACCGATTGTGATCTGCGTTATGTTACCCCGGTTACGTTTGGCATGCCCCCAGCCGGACCGATTGTGGTCTGCGTTGTGTTACCCCGGTTATGTTCAAAGAACATCCTCATGAGGAACGACGTCTTTTTTAGATGGACAGCCGGTCATGGCCAACTATACATAGCCAAACTCGGTTAACTGAATAGATAGCCGACACTCGGCCAGATGAAAGTTACCCGACAGTTGGCCAGGCGGACATGTCCGGTCTATATGCCGAATCTCATACCTACTCCGGGTCAACACGGTCAACTCGGCCAAACGTATTCGGTCCGTATGCGTGCCGGCGAACTTGTGCTTACTGGGTCATTAAATTAAACTTTTGATATGTAAAAAAAAGTCAATTCAAAAAACAAAAGTTGGTATATTTAATGTATACAATTTATGTACCTATTTTTTGGACTTTTTGCTACAAAAAGTACTTATTTTATCAAACAAATTTACCAAGCTGAAACATTACTTTTAGAATGAAGCAGTAGATGATGTAGATGGTGTCCAGGAAACAGTTACTTATGAAGATGATGATGAGGATGTTGAAGAAGAGGAAATAGTAGAAGTTATTGAAGAGGAAGTTGAAGAAGAAGAAGAATCGGAAAACAAATCCTAAAAAATTTAACATGGTTTTATGTAGTCGGTTTGCGTTAAAACAAAATAATTAGTTTGTCTACAGTATATTTTTTGTTTTATAATTAAATATGCCCACTTAAATAATGTATCTTTCTTATATAATTTAGATTTAAAAATAAACCTTAGAGCTTGGGAGAATATCTGTTTTACGATTTTGTTTGTTATTGAAATAGATACAAGTACAAACTTTTAGTAAAAGCTACTACTTTAAAATGACCTGGCATTTATCAAGATTTTATTGGTTTACATACAAATAGTAAGTAACTTACTTAGTTAGTGAGCTTAGTTATATGCGATGCTTTTTTATTAACTTGGGCAAGAAACACCTATTTTCTTAAGAAAGATAATAGATACCTAATTGTTTGCCCTTGTCATATTACACAGGGTTTTAGGCATATATAACAAAGTCTGGTTTTAGGGAATACATGTGTAATGGGTCCTAAAGGGCTTAAATTTTTTGCTACTTGATTTTAAATTTTATAAAATTAAACTCATTTCGAGCAGATAGCGGAGGCGAACTAAGGTGCCCCAGGTCCAGAGGGGCCCACAAAAAATATCTAAAATTGTATGTAGGTACAATGTATACAGAGTGTCCAAAGTTATCTGTTCACCATTGCTATTAGTTAAACTCCGTTATTATTGGAGCTACAGAGGCGGTTAAATTAGCAAATTGGTGGTGGCATTTTTCCTTCTGATTAAAAACAGAAAAACAATTGAAAGTCAGGTTTTCAAAATATTCATAAAAAGTACATTTTTTTAAATAGAACACCCACTATATATTTACATATTTTCTAAAACCCCAAACTTAAAAATAAACAATTAATAAACACTTGAACTTTCTGATGGTTCTTGGAATAATCAAGTTAATACTTTATATTTATATAAAGGGTGTCCAATTAGGTACGCTCGATGTTTGATAGGCGGCTATGGCTAAGTCAGTACAGACACAGCTGTCAAATATTTTGAAGTTTTGTTGGCATATTATGACATTTGATAATGGAGCGTTACACGGTTGCTCAACGCATTCAAATTATTCAAATTTACCAACAAAATTAATGTTTAATTCGCCAAACGTTTCAACGGCGTCATTTCACGAGGCGGCGATATCCAGTGGCCAACGAGATCATGCGATCTAACGGCGCTGGACTTTTTTGTGGGGCTACGTAAAGTCCCTTGTATACGTGAATAAGCCACGAACAATTGAAGCACTGAAGGCCAACATTACTCGTATAATAAATGAAATCGAACCCGAAATGTGCGAAAAAGTGATAGAAAATTTGACCTGCAGAATGCGCGCTGTGGAGCGCAGCCGCGGGGGCATTTGAAAGATGTTATTTTTCATAATTAATGCCATAGGATGTTCTTTTAAATAAATATATTTTTTTCCTAATATCTTAAGTGTAGTTTGTTTTATTTCATTTTAAAGTTAGAGCACTCTTAAGTGGACACCCTTTATATGTATAGAAATATACAGGGTGGCTCAAACATTTGGAATATTGAGTGTAACTTTTGAAATAACGAAAATATTAAAAAATGATTTTAATAAAAGTTGTTTGGTAGTTTATTTCAAATTTTCCGGTGATATTGCAAACTTAAGGATGCCAACTCTTTTTTTTTATTACAACCCCCTTTTTATATCAGAATTTGAAAGAGGCTATTTTTTTAATTACAACGGTTTAATAATATTGAACCAATAAAGGATTATCAGGTGGCTGAGCGTTAAACGTTAAAAAATTTTAAATTAATATAAAAGTTTTTTGTTATAGTTTTTTTAGGCTTCACATCGATTACCTGTAATTCATTTTTAATTCGACATTCAGTGTAATTTTCACATGTAATAGTTTGCTAAATTAGCACTGCTAATAGTAAAATAAATATCTACCGTTTTAAAAAAACAATGCGTACTGAAAAAAAAGAATTGAAGTTTTAATGATGGTTGGGTACGGTGACCGAAAAAGGACTCAGCAAGAAGTATGTGCATTATGTGTATGTACCAAGTATCCGGAAAAGGAGCCTCTGACACAATCATGCGTAAACAAAATTGTAAAAAAAATGTCTGAAATCGTGTGAAAAATAGGTCTAGAAGTTGTAATCAGGAATTAAATTTCTCAAGAAAATTTTTATTTGCCGCTACTGGTCCCACCAAAATCCGAATTGGAAAGAGGAGACTCACACACAGCTCCCTCAAAAGATAATTGTATGGGCAGGAATAATTGACCAACACATATTAGGACCATTTTTTATTGAGAGCAATCTAACTGCAGAACAATATTTGAACCTCTGGGGAAAATAATGAAGTAGACAACACCATTTGGTTCCAGCAAGACGGTGCTCCACCACATTTTGGATTGGCGGTAAGGAGATACTTATCCCAGGTATTTCCGAACAGGTGGATTGGTAGACGAGGGTAAATAGAGTCTCCAGAACATTGATTTTTCAGTGATGTATAAAATTAGGCTGGGCAATGTTCACTGAACATTATTCAGCTTCTCAGAGATAAAAGATAAAGATAAATTTATTCAGCAAAAATTACAAAATTAATAAACAATATAACAAATAAATTTTATTGAGTGCACCTGATTTCTCGGAGGAAATCGTGCTGTGCTTGATATTTTAATATATTTGTTTTTAAGGTATGTATAACAAAATAAATTACTTATAAATTATCTAACAAAAACATAGTAGTAATTTCTATAAAAAAGAAAACTATAAAAAAACAAAAATAAACATGATTTTAATTTGAAATTAAACATCGAAAAATGTATTACGTTATTCGTAACTATTAAATTATAATATAAATTAAATTTTATTATAGAAATTTAAATAAGAAGAAAAGAGCCATATCAATAATAATGGTTATTATTTAAGTATTAAGTATTATTAAGTATTTGTTTTATTAATTGTTCATTTTCACCTATAAAATTTTTTAGTTTTTTACAAAATAAACCAAATGAGTTCAGGGATCTAAGGTTCTGTGGCAAAATACCGAATATTTTTGGACCTTTAACAAGAATTGATTTTTCAAAAGATATTGACGGTATCCTTGGAATTTGCAAAAATTCATGTCTAGTATTATATGTATGTTGTACTATTTCTCTGAGTTCAGGATTTTTGTAAACAAATTTTGAAACATTTAAAGCATAGAGCTGGTCAAAGTTAAGTACTCCCATTTCCTTATAAATTTCTTCAGTTGGGTATCGACGTTTTTTTGATAATATCGTTTTAATTATCCATTTTTTTGTTATTACATTTTTAAATTGAGATTCGTATGTGCCTCCCCAAATAATAAATAAACCATAAGATATTATTGATTCTACCAGTGACTTATAAGCAATTTTCATTATGTTAACCGGTACTATATCTCTGAGTCTGTAAAATGTAAATACTAATTTTTTTAGTTTGTTGTTTATAAAGTTGCTATGTTCATAAAATTTAAAAGTATTATTTATAATCATTCCGAGGTATTTTACGGACTCAGTTTTCTCAATTGTTCTTTCACAGAGGCAATTTATGTTTTCGTTGCATTTGGAATGAAATATTAAACTATTAAATTCAGGCTGAGTAGAGGAACTATTTGTAAATGTTAAAAATTTAGTTTTTGTAAAATTAAGACTAAGCAGGTTGTTATCTAGCCAGCGTTTTACTTGGTACAGTCCCTTTTCAGCGTCTTTTTTTACTTCATGCCAAGCATTACTATTAAAAATAAGTACTGTATCATCAGCATATGATAGTATGTCCCCAAATATGGGCATTTCGAGCAGATCATTGATGTATATTAAAAACAATTTGGGTCCTAAAACTGTGCCTTGTGGTACGCCATATTCAATTTCTTTTGAATTACTTAAGATGTCCTTTACTTTGACAAAAGATTCTCGATTTGAGATATAGGTTTTAAATAATTTTAAGACTATTCCTCTAACGCCATAAACTTCTAATTTTTCAAGTAATAATGAGTGACAGATACTATCGAATGCTTTTGCCAAATCTAAAAATATAGCTGTAATTTTCTTCTTTTTGTTTAATAATGTTTGAATTTTTTTTGTAAAACTGAATAAAGCGTTTTCTGTGGAGCATTTGTTTCTAAACCCAAATTGTTTTTGCGACAATAAATTATTTTTTTCAATGTGCTCATCTAACCTGCTTGCTATGCATTTTTCAAAAATTTTCGCAAATACAGTTATGACAGATATTGGCCTATAGTTTGATGGATTAGACTTGGTGCCATTTTTAAATATTGGTGTAATTATTGCCTGTTTTAGTCTGTCTGGAAATGTTCCATTAATAAATGTTAGATTTATGATATGAACAAGAATATCCGTTATTCATTCTTTTGTTATTTTTATAGTTTTTGTGTTTATTTTGTCTATTCCAGGTGCTGTATTATTTTTTAATTTTATTATTATTTTTAAAATTTCTTCCTTACTAACCGGTTTTAAGAACATTGATTTTTTTATATTAATATTAGGTCTCGAAATTTGACGTATTTCGGAAAAATAATTATTTTTTATGTTTTTTGCGATGTTTTCGCCGACTTTTGCAAAATAGTTAATAAAAACATTGGCGACTTCAGCTGGTTCCAATGTACGATCACCTTCGATAAGTTCAATGACATCAGTTTTATTGTTATTGTTTTTTATTATTTTCCAAATTTTTTTTGTATTATTTTTACTTTGATTAATTTTATTTCCGTAATAAATTTGATTTGATTGTTTTAGTAGTTTGGTTAAAAAGTTTCTGTACCTTTTATACTCATTTAAAAGTTCTATATTATTTTTTTCTTTTAGCAAACGTCGTTTTAATTTGTCCCGAGTTTTTATTGATTTTATTAGTCGCTCTGTTATCCACGTTAATTTATTATAGTTTTTTATATTTTTGTACGCAGTACAGGTATTTATATAGTAATTATATTTGTTTATAAATATAATATATATAAGGCTCTGTTTGAGTCGTTTTCCCTATAAATAATCTCCCAATTCTCATTTTCTAGCATTGCATTTAATTTTTTGTTTTAAGTTTTTACTGTTTGAACTCAAATTTAGGTGTTTTAATTTTAAAATTGTTTGAAATATTAATTAAAATATTGTAATGGTCCGTAATATGTTATCTATGAATAATAGGGGTTATATTAGTATTTTTAAGTTTGTCATTTATTTTAAGCATGATCGATGCAACTTCCATTTTCGGGGGTTTTTCTGGTTGATCGATTAATATATGAAATATATCCGTTTGCGCTTAAAGTATTTATATATGTGTTTGTTATGTAATTTTCTGATTTAATATCGATATTTATATCTCCAATAAAAACATTAAAATCACCAATGCTATTGATTTGTAAGAAAGGTGTAAGATCATCTATAAACAAATCAGGATC